GTTAGCAAGTAGCGATATTTCCGTGTAATCGGAAATAGTCAAAGCGGAAAGCATGAACCGAACATCCCATTTGCATGATGAAATGCGTTGGAGGGCTGCCTGGAATTTCCAAAATGGTCTAAGACAATCCACTGTTGCGACAGACTGGGATGTTCATTGTAGTCTGTAGCGTACGTACGTACGTACACTGCGAAAAACAAAAGGGGGAAGTTTTATATCTCCTGTTCGACTGGACCGACTGACGAAATTCAAATTGCGTTTTTCATTTCCCGAAAGCGCGGCTTAGGATATATATTAGATTTAGTATATATAGTTTTATTATAATATAGGTATTTTGACACAAAATGGGACTTTTTCTGAAATAACATGCAAATTTTTTTTCCATATTTCGATTCTATGACTCAAATTAAGCCTAAATATTACATTTTGTAAAATTTGATGCGGAATTAACGAAGAAATTAAAAAATTAACTTGGAGCAATTTTTTCAGTTTGAGCCAAGAATAATTCACTTGGCGAACTTCTTAATATATGGAAACATATTTTCCTTTCCATTCCATTGCGCAGGAGCGGAAAAAAAGTCACATCGTTCCTACTTTCAAATAATTTTAACAAAGTGCGTAAACCACATTTTCGTTATTATCGCTTTCAACAAATATGCCAAATTTCAAAACGCGCCAAAATATAAATTCACGTATATCTTCGGAAATTTTGAATAAAAGGCTCTAATGTTTTGCAGGTATGCTTAGAAATACATCTACTTGATAAAAATTTTATAGTTTCACAAGAAAAGATTAAAGTTAAATTAAATTTAAATCTTGCGCCATTGCCATTAAATTTAAATCACTTGCGCCATTGCCATTAAATTTAAATCGCTTGCGCCATTGCCATTAAATTTAAATCACTTGCGCCATTGCCATTAAATTTAAATCACTTGCGCCATTGCCATTAAATTTAAATCACTTGCGCCATTGCCATTAAATTTAAATCGCTTGCGCCATTGCCATTAAATTTAAATCACTTGCGCCATTGCCATTAAATTTAAATCTCTTGCGCCGTTGCTGCAAGGAATGAAATTTTAATTTAACAAATATTCTCTATTCGTATTAAGCAAATAAAAAATTCCCTATTCGTATAAAGCAAATATAAAATTAAAATTTAAAATTGAATTAAGAAATTTTAATTGCAAAGAAATAACTTCCTTTTTATTATTTTTTTCTAATTTAATTGTTGTATATAGTTTATTTTAGGCTTACATGTATAATTCGAGTAGAAAAGTTCCCTGTAGGCAAGAGTTTCTAAATTACTTTGGTTTTCAAAAAAATTTCGTTTTCTACTCTTAATTGACATTTTATTAATTTAATTAATTTTAACTCTAGTCACTTACATGCTATTTTCTCAAAATTCCACATTTAAAATTTCTCTTTTTTGTAACTCCCAACATTTGATTTTACTTTTGGTTTTAAATTTTATTTTTACCCTTGCCTATGTGGATGACGAAATACGAATTGAGTAATTGAGAAGAGTTAGATATGGGGGCAACTTCCCCTTGATAAGTCTGTCTCCTGCCTGTTCGACAATTATTCACTTACGCAAATTATTTTGAATAATAAATTTAATTTTTTTGAAATAATATATTTGTTCATTGTTTTAGATACGTGCAATTAATTTGCATATGCTCTTAGAATTTAAATGATATTGTAAATTAGTTCGCAGCAATAATAATTATGTTTATTTCTATTTCTTTGCAATTAAAATTAGTTCAATTTAAAATTTAAATTTTATATTTGCTTTATACGAATAGAGAATATTTGTTAAATAAATGTTTTACAGGTCATTATTCAAAATTGTTTTGAAAAATTTATAAAAAATATTTTAAATAAATCATAAAAAATGAGTGAATTTTATTTGGAATGAACCTAAATTTCGAACTGTGTAGTAAGGAATCAAATACGTTTCATAAAAAAGAGATATGTATTTATTAATACATACCAAATTGAATTAATATTGAGGAGCTAAAATTCTGAGAGCTAATTTTTTTAAAACTACTCGTGCGATTTTTCAAAACTTGGGAGTTTGGCATAATTTGAGTCGTAGAATCGAAATATGAAAAAAAATTAAATATGGAAATATGTATGTAATTTTAGAAAAAGTCCGAATTTGTGTCAAAATACCTATATTTGAACAATGGTATATATAAATCTAATACATATCCTAAGTCGCGCATTCGAGACATAAAAAACGCAATTTAAATTTCGCCAATCGGCCCAGTAGAACGAGAGATATAGAACTGTCCCCCCCTTTTTTACGCAGTGTACATCATAGGTCTAAAATATCATATATACAGGGTGTTTCATAGATCATGGGACAAATTTGGAGGGGTGGTGGAACGTACTAAAACATGCATTTTTTGTATAGGAATGTAGGGTTTAAAGTGACGGGTTAAGGCAGGAACGCAAAAAAAAAAAAACGACACGAGAGGAAAATGTGTTTATGTACAAAATCAACGCAAAGTGCTTCTTTGCAGCAATGCAGTATTCACAATAAATGTTCAAAAAAGGGAACACTAACAGTAATAGGGACTACAGCTGTGATTGGCTGGTAATGCAGCGGTAGAGGGCGGTAGTGTGACGGACAAACAGCGTTCCGATGCACATCAGAGGATCATTCGCAACACTGATGTCGAGCGTGATGGGTGAGTTTATGCACAGGGAAAAAGCTGACATTCATCTCATGTATGGTGCTGCTAATGGGAACGGCAGAGCAGCGCTACGGTTGTACCAGGAACCGTTTCCAAACAGGCGTATGCCGAAGCTCACAATGTTCGACAGCTTGCATCGGTCTCTGTGTGGAAACGGGTCATTTGAAACCACCTCTGACATTAGGAGTGGGAGAAGAAGTGCACGACAACCTCGCATTGAAGAATCCACCTTGAACATTGTGCATGAATCACCTCAGACAAGTACAAGAGCTACTGCACGTTGTCTGCAGCTTAGTCATTCCACCGTTTGGAGAGTGTTGCATGAAAATGGTTTGCACCCATACCATTTGCTTCAAAGAGTACCAGCCTTGCAAGAGACAGATTACCCTCTTAGAGTTCATTTCTATCACTGGTTCTTGCAGCAGTGTGCGGCGCAGGCGGATTTCCCATCGGATGTGCTATTCACGGACGAGGCAACTTTCTCATGGGACGGCATCTTCAATAGCCACAACATGCACGTGTGGCCCATACTTCACAGGCCCATACCTCTTACCTGCACGTACAAATTTCTTATATTATCATATTTTTCTGCAAGAGGTGCTACCGGAATTGCTGCAGGGTGTTCCGGCTGTCATTCGCGATCTCATGTGGTTCCAGCATGATGGTGCACTAACCCATAACCACGTGCGGGTCCGCAATTACCTGTATAGGACATTTCCGGGCCGATGGATTGGCCGTGGTGGAACCCGTTCGATGGTCACCCCGTTCGCCAGATTTATCCAGCTTGGATTCCTTTTTTATGGGGCCATCTGAAGAGCATCATTTACGAAACTCCCGTTGACTCACTGGAGGACCTCGCTGCATGACTATCCATTGCGTCTGCAAGCGTGCGCAAAATGCCTGTCGTTTTTCAAAATGTTCGTCAATCCCTTCTGCGACGTGTATTACTGCTGGTGGTCGCAATTTTAAACATTTATTGGGAATACTGTATTGCTACAAAGAAGCACTTTGCGTTGATTTTGTTCATAAACACATTTTCCTCTCGTGTCGGTTTTTTTTTTTTTTTTTTCGTTTCTCACTTAACGCGTCACTTTAGACCCTACATTCCTATAAAAAGTGCATGTTTTAGTACGCTCTACCACTCCTCCAAGTTTGTCTCATGATCTATGAAACAAAATTTAAGGCCCCCATCGTTTTAAGAGTGTCAAGCATGCGCTTCTTGCGCCTGTGAAGAAATCCTCCCCTTCTTTGCGTAAGTAGTAAAATTACAGTTGTTGTAGGAAAATATATCATGTTCAAATAAAGGGTAACCAATTTTAAGTGATTATAAACTCTTTGATATTAATGATATGAATGCACAAATTATTTGATTCAAAGGAACACTCATCGCGGTTTTCGCATGAGTAACGCTTGCAACCGAAATGTCCAAAATGTCTGTACCATTTCTGTAATGCTTGCAACCAAAATAATAGTCCTGATAAACATCTACAGGGGAAAAATAATATGATGATATTTAGATGAATGTTTGCAACCCTGAACTTCGGGTCATGTCTCTATCTTCTACCTTAAACTATATTTCTGCAATAGCATTCTTTGACTACAATAAAATTCAATGCAAACTTAAAAATAGTTATTTTTTAGAAGAATGACATACAGGATTGGGGAAAAAGTTGATATTATCTAAAATTAATTGCAACCTTTTGGGATGCCGTACATACTTTTCCAATAAATACTTGTTTTTGAATACTTACTATCAACTTTAAGTCAGTATTATAGTTGGATTACGAATTATCTTTCTAACCTTTGATTTACTGTACAATATAATATAAAATAAAAAACAGTATTGGAAACTGCATTCCTTAAGCAATATATAACCTGTGAAATATTCTTAACGTTTAATTGCACTAAATACCAAAATTTAGTATTGCTCCATGTTCTTTAATAACCAGTCTCTTTTGAATTTTTGTCATCTTGCTTTAACAGCTGTTACATTTAACTCCTTTTCATGCTTCTTCAACTTAGAAAATCTCTGAAATTAATTGCGAGATATTTGATATATCCAATGGTTAACCATAAAATGTACCTCTAGAGATAAACAAACTTTCAAATGCAATCATTATTTTTTAAGTATTTCTATTTAATCGATTTATAATGGTAATATTTTGTAGCTAAATATTTCATAGCCAGTACTAATATAATTTTTTTAAATATGATAGTTCAACGTGTTTGAAATGATAGCTAGAGAGTTAAAATCAGAAAGTGAAACATACAATTTGTAATCATAGACTGCATTTATTTTAACGTATCTCAAAAATATATTATATTCTTATACATGGGCACTACACAGCATTCTGCAATTTCTACATGGAAAAAGACTTTCTTTACATGTCTCTGCTTTGTATCCATAGCATGGCAACTGTTTATGGCATCCTTGTGAAGGAAACCGGACGACTAGAGAAAAGGGGAAAAAGAATCAATGGACAAATCCATTGGCCATCTGGTACTGTTGGGCATCCACTATAACGCTGGTATACTGCGGTTGCACACCATCTGCGGTGGTCGTACAGCCGTATTCATTTGTGCCATTGGCAGAGTTAACACAGTACGTTTTGTCCGCAAAATTGTCACATTTCGTTAATGCATACTTGATGCTAGAATCTAAATGCGATTGTTGTCTAGCGGATTCGAAGTAACACGAATCGTTGTATGGCGAATCGGCTGGAGAGCAACTTGCATAGTTCCGCTGCTGGAACGGTTGCTGTTTCGTTAACCGGGGATTGAGGAAGTCTGTAGTTGCCGCCGCGGCTGCCTGGAGACTGGTGGTGGTGATGACGGACTTATATTGATTGCTGCTGCTACTACGAAGCACAGGTCCTAAGGCACTTGATGGTGGCTTGATATTGCTATGCTGCTGCTGCTGTTGATGATGAAGAGGCGAAGAAGTTGAAGATGCTGAGTGCGGAGATTCAGTCCTTCCGTTTGGGAAGCTTTCTAGATCGGATTCGGAGAGTATGGAATCTGAAGGACTACTAAAGGGTCCTCCACCAGCACCCCCGGGAGCTGGGTACAGTAGATGATGACCTACTGGCAGTTCATGTGCTTGAGGTGGAACTGGTGCAACGTAACCCCCTGCACTTGTGCACATGTCCTGTTGTGGGGGTATGATGCAAGACATCGGTTGCAAAGGATCCGGATCCACATCTGGTGAGGAAGACACGACGGAAGCTTCACACGGTGGAAAAGAAGCATAGTTGTGTACGGCGTACCTGGAAATAATACAGGGATGCATAGGTTATAATTTCTTTGAAACAGGAATGCTAGAAAAGTAAAAAAATATAGAACCGCAGAATTAATGTAAAGCCTAATGTAAAATACATATGAAAATTACATTTAAAGAAGGAAAGCAATTAAACGACACGCACGACACGCAATTTCCTTTAATTAAAAATCACATATCACTTTCAAAAAGCTTTAGAGAATATTTCGATCGGTATTCTACATCGAAATGACTGATTAACCGATTTTAGTTACAGAACAATGTAAATTACATAAATAAATACAACCCCCACAATAAAGTCCTTATGCGATCTTTGTTTCCTCAATTGTTGGCCGTAGACATATATTTCCGGTTACAAAAATGTTTCACATGACGTCATGTTCTAGCATTTTTAATGCCGACATTTTACGATGCCGTGATTCTATAGTATAGTTAGGAAAAATTTATATTCATTATAAAAATTAAATTACAAAACTGATTTTTGTTAAACTTTTCAACCTAAAATGCCAAATCATAAACACTTGAAGGTCATTTAAAATATTTTTATAAATACTAGTATATGTCTATGAACAATGGTTGCGAAAGTAATGACCAAATGTGGGTCTTTGGGTATATTTGTAAGTATTTAATATAAGTTCTGTTATAAGATAGGATATTATTCTGTGTTATGAAATATTTCATGAAACTATAATTTGCAGCAATAAACAAGATCATTATGCTAGGAAAAACATCATCGTCTTGAATTAAATTTTGTAAATTTTTAAACTTTTTTTGAACTAAGTTTTCTGACTTTTCTGTTAGAAACCAGGTTCTAGAAATTCTTAAAAAGTTTTTATTTAAGTTGTCCTTAACTGAACTGCATTATAAAAAAATGGCAGCTGACAGGTGGAGCTGTAATACCATAGGAATACTACTAGGCATGGCAAATATAAAACAGCAGAGAAGTAAAACTATTGCTTTAAAGTTTTCAGTTTTGTAAACAATACTGACACTGAATTTTGAAGTATTTACATTACTATAATCTACAAGCTCATAATCTTACCTACCTGGTAAAATCTACTTCTTTAATAATAATAATTCTTTATATTTTCAGGGTTGAAATGTATTTCATACTTCAGCTTCGCTTCTCATCTAAGATACTGTTTCGTCTTTTCTGCTATGAATTGTTCGGCTTGTGAAATTTAATTCAGCGATTTACTAATTCCACAACATCTGACTTATTTTCAATAATCAATGTGTATCTCTCAGGTTCCTCCACATTTTTCTTTCCTGACTTCCACTGTATTCACAATTTCATTCATTTTGCATATTCTAAGGCACCTACGTTTTTTAACCTGTTTTAATTTTAATTTTATTATACTAAAGGAAAAGTTAGATTTTTGGTGTGAACGCTATGGGTAATTTAAATTTCCTTACCTTCAGGTATATGGGAATGTACTTTGATTTTTTTTAAAATCAGTCCTGATTTCAGTTCTTCTGATTACATTATAGCTAGTGTTCTTAAAAACTAATTTTCTACCTCCATTTTTTTCTTTCTTTTCTTTTAACCTTAAATTTTGCATTTTAAAATGAGTATGCTTAGAGCATACTCGTTCCTTATACTGGATAGTTGCAAAAGTTCACATTTAGATAATAGTTCACGTGACCCACGTATTTTCCTTTATTTTCTCCATTTCACTCCATATGTTGCCTTCGTAAAAAGCACATTTAAAGCAGAACTTTTACTTCCATTGTTGCTCGCATGGTAAACCATTTTAGATAGCTTAAATTGTTAAAGCATTTAGTAAATATTAAAAGCTTTTTGGCATTAATTTCTATAAAAATGAGGAGGAACACATTACGAATATCATCATCAGTACACATTCGTCAAAGCAAGTAAAACGTTTGGAAACTGTACTTCCGAAACAGTATGGAGAAGCCACTTGTGTCTAATACCCTCATTTGAAGAAAAAACTGTTCATTAAACAAGCTATGCTTGTACGATTGAACAAAGAGGATATAAAGTTATAATATTAGTCATGAAAATTGACATGAAGTAAATTATTTCAAAGAAATCTCACTGACCACTTCGAAAAAGGGTTTTCAGGCTATTTTACTGAATGAAAATACTGAAAATGTTGTGAATAAGCAAACTAATAATCCACACAGAACTACCGCTAGTTTACACAATTTATAATAAGAAAATACGCTGTTGTAACCGACACTTAAGAACTTCACTGAAATTTTCTCGCTATCTAATTTGGATATCAGTACCATAAGAATGTGATTCAGGTATTCCAATCGCTTCGCTTGAACAGAATATATTTTTTTTTCCTGACAGCTGCAGAAAATACCCTTTAATTTGAAAAAAAAATTAAAATAATATAGTTACTTAATTTGAAATATTTCTGCCACATTTACTACTAATTATTTGTTGGCTGCTTCTTCATCTTGTCTTCTGCATTTTGCTGCATTCTGAATCACATTGTAGGGTTTATATTTATTTTAACTAACATTTATTTTAAATTTAAGCTATCTTTCCTGTCAAGCCTTTACATTCCCCTGGAATTGCCAATGCCAGAGTATGTAAATCGTAGTAGAACGCGCAGAGTATTCAAATTTTTAGCAGAAGTAAATTGAGTTTAAATAGAAGGGAAACGAGATTGTAGGTGTGCTTCTGAATCACGAGCGTGAATGTTGTTAGAAAGTTTAGAACCGCGCGTTTCGGCCTGTGTGCCTATTTCGACAGTTCGTTGAATCTTTCAAATTCTTAATCAGAAAGTTTGCTGATCTCAGCTGAATCTAGAACGCGGTTAAGATAGTTACAATATAGAGCCTCGTAGATAGTGACTTCGTTAGTATGCATCCTGTCATTTATTTTAGTGTACTTTTCTATTTTTGTTTAACCGGCGGGTCAGCGTAGTTTGTGAGCGTCAAGTGTACGCAACTGTGATATCTAAAGTGAAATAAAAAGGGAGTTAAACCCTTCTTAAGAGTCTGTGTAATTTCCAGCTCATAGCAGTCACTACTACTGTTGCTGACAAGTTGGGGCCTCCCAACATCACAACTTAATGAAATCAAGTTATCGACTTGCGTGTTTCTGAACGCGTAAGACGTTCTTTTCAAAATCTGCGTCATGTAATCAAAGTCGGTCTTTTGTGGTAATCAAAATCGTTCTCTTTAAAATCTGTGTCATGTAATCTGTGTCAAGTTCATTTGTTCTCTTCAAAATCTGAAAATGTAAACGCTTGTTATTAATTGGCAGAGAGATGCTATTTTTTTCTAGACTCTTTTATGCAATCCCATTCTATGCATGTATCTGAAGGTATTCGTTATTAATCAATCCAAGGACCTATCCGAGGGATATGGATGCATCTCAGGCTACTTATTGACACAGAAGAAATATAGTCAGGGGGGACCATAGACGAATACCAGCTAGTGTGACAAAAACCCAGAAACTTTTAAGACCATTAGAAATAAATTTGTATCATTACTAAATCGATAGTCTGCTTCTTTTCCAGAATTTCAGTTATTTCATGAGGATTAAAGCCAATCTCCTATTCATTTTGAAATTTGACTCCAAAATTGTCCATAATCCTTCTAAACGAAAGAGTGACAATCAACTGTGAAATTAAAGTTTTCATTAAAAAATAATAAAAGTGCTGAAGATTTACCTTTCTTCTCTTTCGTAACTGGACTCGGGATGGGGCAAAGGTGATAACCGCTGATGTGGATAATGTGGCAAAAAACCTCCTCCACCCGGATCCAGGAGACCCATGGCTAAATGAGGTGAGTGAGGATATTGAGGGGCTGAATTGGTAGCTGCCATATCAGTATATGGGGAATGGGTAACTGCTGAGAAGGCTGCGTGGTGAAGAGGAAAGGAATTCATTTCGTAAAGACATGGATCCACAGGCTCACCTGGAAAGAAAAAGCACGCTTTGTATAGAAAAAAAGTCTACAATGAATTTGAACATTATTCAGAAGATATGCCTTAATCGCCGCACTGGTTCGTATAGTTTTTAGCAATGCTGGCAGCAGAAATCGATGGCCCCGGGTGCGAATACAGGAGAAGGCTTGGATATTATAAGTGTATGGTATCTTCGTGGCATGAGGACACTCATATTACATGGCTAACCAAAGGTCCTCTCCAGTGGTTTAATGGTATCCCGATCCCTAGGATCCATTATTAGGATACATTCTTTGGGATGATTGTGTCTCAAAATGCGTACGGAGCTAAACAGAGTTGTACTGTCATCCATAAAGTGTTCAAAGCTCCTGCTGATGCCAGATGAAACCCTGCGTTTCTTGCCACGATAAAATTCGTGGACTTTTTTTTTTTGGGGGGGGGGACATTTTTGACGTTACTGACGTTGTCAAACAAGCGAAACACATACAACTACAACATATCCCTTTATCGGTTATTAACTGTGTCATATTCTTGTATTTATATTTTAAATAAAGTAAAATATTTTATAGCATATTTTGCTTTCTGGTTGGAAGAATGTTGCATTTCTGTAGCAAAATGTTGTTAAATGCGTAGCATCATAATACTAATGGCATAGAGCTTACACTATGTCATGACATAATATCTTTTTATTTAGTCCTTATATTCACTGTTTTAACACATTATTTCACAAAATACCTTTAAAGAGAATTTAGAATTCCATAAAAACGGAATTCCACTTAAAAATAATATAAAATCTTGTTTTAATCAGATTTAATTAATGATTTTGGAAGATAATAATTAAAACCATGGAAAATGTAAAATAAATTAATGTACAAAGTTTAATTTTCCTTCAGCCCACCAGCGGCCGAGCGGTAAAATCGCTGAACACTGGTAGTTCGGTCCGAGATTCGAACCCCGCGAACGGGATGGCTGCATGGGCGTTTTCGTGGTTTTCCCCATGTTTAATGTGTATACGAGCCAGTTTCCCCTTAGAAAGTCCTCCACGAAGGCATCCCTCCTCTTAGGCAGATAGCCCTCGAGGCTTTGCCATAATCTCTCTCTCACACACACACACATTTTCCTTCAGTTTTCTTTCGGAGTATCCCTTTCGTTTCTCTAAGCTATTTTCTGAAAGTTTACGTAAAACTAATTTTACAAATTTTCAGTGAAATTATTTATTAAAATGTTTGAATTTTTTCTCATATTTTTATAATAAACTGTGTTAGAATGTTAGAACTAATAAATACTTTAATCTGAAACACATTGTTTTTACTAGATAAAAGAATATAGGAAGAAAATTTAATAGAACTGAAGAGAAGATATATCCGAAAGAGGAAATAAAAAGTTACAAAAACTGGAAAGACTTATGATAAAAAATGTTAAAATTTATGATATGTACAGGAACTTTATTTCGACCTGTAGTGAATCTATTTGATCTGCAGTAGTTTCTTCAAACACGCCTATTATCAATTAACGGAAACCACGATAGTTTTTAACGATAGGCGTTCAATTAATTACACACAGATTAAAAGAATGCTGTCTGAAAGGGTGTTTATGTTTTTAACGAAGTTGCTAATTTTTCTTTCACTATCTATAAGGAAAACAGTGAAAAGTACTCTGCAAACAGGATATTCTGCAGAGAATTCATTAGGCATTTTGTAGAGACATTAGGCATTTTTTGACGATTTTTTTTTGTTTCAGATTAAGATAATTGATCCAGTATATTATTACTACATTAATGTTTTTGTTGATACTGAGAAAAAGTTATTGTATTATATTAAATTTAAATCATCACGTCATACGTACACTTATTAACCTGAAGTCTTTGTTTCCTAGTTCGGCAACCAAAAAAAAAAAAAAAAAAAAAAAAAAAAAAAGGGAATTGGTTGTTGCTTGGAAAGAATGAACTGATTTCATTCATACTGAAATGTTTTTTTCAGGTATACTTAGAACTCATAAATTTTGCTTTGGTGGCAGCTATCAACTTTACATACAATACATTAAATTAATAGTTCATTTTATTTTCAGTTTTTCAGTACGTATAACTTATAAATATTACTTTGGCCGTAGCCCGCTCATTTGGCAGGCTTACCCGCTAGTCTGCTATATAAGTGCAAAATTGAAGTCTTTCTTACCTCGAATGCAGCCGATATTAGAATCCTCATAGAGATAGGGCGATTTACGACTTTTCGATCTTTGGTGTCGGCTTCTCGTCGGTGTGATGGTACTTGTACCATTTGTACTGTGGCTCTGTGTTGTAGAAGTGGCTGCTGGATATAGTGGTTCTGGTTTACGGATCTGCTCTATTTCCAGCTGCAAACTCTCTGCTTCTTGTTTACTGAAGAGAAAAAGCATATCAGAAACTATTATTAAGCTGAAAGAGAGTAAAAATACATACGTTCTTGGAATAAATTCTTAAATTTCAACACTCAGTTTCATCTATTTTTTAAATGTGCAGCTTAGTAGTACAGAATCTAACGTATTACTGCAAACATTTTGTAACTTAGTACAATTAGTTCTTTATAACAAATACGCAGCTACAGATAGATGATTAAAGCAGAGTAAGAAATCGAAGAAAATTTCTTTTAGTTTTCTTTCTTTTAATTCTTTTAAATTTAAGCAGAGCTGATGCAATTTTTCTAGTCGTTATTTTCGTGCATTATCCTCTGCTACCGAAAACGAAAAATGCTTTTGAACTACTTGACATTAAATATCAATAAGAATTTTCCTTCGTATTCAGGCTTTAAAAGCAATAGAGAAATGCATTTCAGCTATTAGTACATAGAGAAATTCAAATACCCTCAGAAATTTTCCTTCGTATTCAATCTTTAAGGTAAAAGAAAAATCTGAATAAAAATAAGCTTTGTGTTGTTGTTTCTTCGTCAGACTTTATTGGATGTCCTGAACATTGTAGAAGATTTATGCCATTATAAGATAATGTATATTTTTTAAACACTCAGCAAAATAACTTTTATATAAACTACATGTTGAAATAAAATAACCTTAAGTTACTGATTATTTCAGAAGTCCAACTGAAAGATATTTTTAGACAGAATGTATAGGATGAAAGTAATCGTCCTACCTAAGGACATAGTTGACACTAACTATACAGTGAGGGCGGGACGACCTAGTATTGTGTACAACTGTGGCATAACTTTGCATCCAAATCCATCCTCCATCTTTGTTTAAAAATCTGTAGTACTTGGTAGTTACTTGGCCTTTGTGAAGTACTAAAAGGGGAAAAAATCTTAGAAATGAGTATAATAGACATTTTGTAAAATGAAATATCCAGAAAATTTTTAATAATATCCGAATAATTCAAATAAGCTACTATAATAACTGTACAAAATCTTGAAGAATATCATTCATATTACAATTAGCATGCAATTTAAACGTCTTTATACAAATTCCAAAATAAAAGGCTGAAAGTGTTATTGAGATTTTCAAATGTTTTTTTCATTATTATTTTATGACCACGTAACTTTGATTGACCGGTACAAGAACCTCACATAGCGTAGGAGCCGCAGCACGGAAGCTCAGAACAAGAAATGAAAGCACCACAGAGAATCGTAAGGGAACATGTAGGCACCGAAATATATATTATGAGTTTTGTACATAGATAGATAATTTTAGTGCAATTATATATGAAATTGTTGTACTTCTCTGTGTAATGTAATATGAAAAATCTAGAAAGACAAGCTATACCACCAAAAGTGGGAATACAGGAGCAAGTCTACTTAACAATGAGAAAATGGGTATCTCGTTAATTTGGCAAGATATCGCCAAGCTGCAACGGTTTTGGCGCCTAATTTTATAGCCAAATTTGGCGAGACAAGCTTGGTTACTATTTAGTGACATTCTGGCCCGGTCCCTGTATCACTGTAATAGTTATTGTAATTGAATAAATGTAATTGATCACTATACCCGTAACCGTAATTCGACCCTCATATTTCCTTCTAGTAATTTCGAGAAGGAAGAAGCATTAGTTTAGTTTAGTGACGGAGGACGCGAGCACCATCTCTCTACCATAGCGGTTAATTGGTATAGCACCGCGTCCCCCCTTTATTTAAAGTAACCCAAGATGGTATGGGGAAGGGAGGGGCCGCACGAAATCCCCAGAACAGTCGCCGAGACCCAGCATATATTTTGAATGTCATGTAATAGAAATAAATAAATAAGCAGAAGAAGAAGCATTAGAAATATCTCGGCCGTCTAGTGAAAACTATATAAAACCTGGAGCATCTGCTGTCAGTTGTTATTGTCGCGAGTTCTTAGTTCCTCTGGATTCCTTTTTACTTCCTTGTACGAAGTAAAAAGGAAGTATTGTAATCGCGAAAAGTTTCAGGCAGCATATTTCAACGAAAATATCCATTTTGACCGCTATCGAATGCAATTTAACGATGTTTTTGTGTGATATCTGTACGCAAGGACAGAATAAAAAACTCGTTTCCTCCAAAAAATTATAAAACTGCTTTAAAATGAATTCTGAAGAGAATTTTTCGGGGCGTCTGTACGAACGTATGACGTATCTCGCATAACTCAAAAAGGAGTAGCCTCAGAACGTTGAAATTTTGTATATAGGAATGCTATAACATGTAGATGTGCACCTCGTATTTTGGTTTGCAATCGGCCGCACCAAACGTATATAAATATATATAATATATATATATCCACTCTGTTCCCGGCCCAGTGATCTCAGTTTCTTTACTCTATATGTTTGTAAATTGTACATATTTTGCTTTAAAAATAATTGAATTATGTTGTTCTTATCTTCCGGTTAAGGTTTTTATGCCTTTCGTAATTCTGGAAGCAATATTTGTACAATTATCAACAATTTAAAAGCTGTTTAAGTGCGGTTAAGTTTTAAATAACATGGCGGACATATTTGTTTACCTTTGAAACAGCAGAATTGTAGATTTGTTGCCAATCTAGAGAGACTAAGCTTCTCAACACAAAAATAACGCCTTCATTTATTATTGCGAATTAAATCATGCTTAATCCTTTCTGGAATTTTTTCGAGGAAATAAGTGTTTAAGATTTACTTCGTAATTTTTAATGCGGATATTTTGAGTTTTTATGTATTTTTGCCTTGTCGCGAAAAGAGAAATGAATTAATTGAATGAGAAATACTAAATCGTCTGTGAAAAACTGTTTCTTTTCTGTTTTGTTTGCTTAATTTCTTTCATACATCGCTTTAGATTTATTATAGTATTTGAATAGAACATGTGGCAACGATAATTCTTCAAATGATATAAATTTTGTGCATTCAGAGTGTCGTTATAGTAAACAAATATATATATAATAAATATAGTAAACAAATAAAGTCGTTATAGTAAACAAATAAAGTCGTTATAGTAAACAAATAAAGTGAACTTTAAGGAGTGCATTTATTCTATTGTGGTTTATGCGCTGTCGGCGAAGTAGATTTAATTCAATCTAATCAAGTTAAATGAAATTCAAGAAAAAAATGTGTATAATTAAATAATTAAGCTAATAAGAGGTTCAAACAAATCAGTATGTCATGTGGTGTACACATCAGATTTTTTCTCTTTAGATGTGCTTTGCATTGCGTTGTCTTTAACTTTCTTAGTAGTGTAAACATTGACTGCACAATCTGATAATATGAGAACCTGTACGAGTATCTCTCTGGAAAATTCCGGAACTCTGAAATGTTTCTTTTGATAAAATAAATTTTACCGACCTATCATCAGACCTGTGTGCTTTCAATCTGTTGCGAACCCGTACGCACGCAACACATCGAAGGCGTGAAGAAGCTCTTTATTTATAGACTCTCAACTTAACAGTTAGACATCATGATGTCATTTTTCAGAAAGCAGGAAATTTAACTTTCTCAAGTTATTTAATCCGCACATATATTGCTAGTTAGTTATACTGTTTAGTATTTTCGAATTGTAGAAATGAAGATATATAGAACACACAGCAAAAGCTATTATTAAATAACTGTGTATTTATTTAATAAATTAGTTTCAAACTTCGTTCATTTATACTAATACACGAACCTATAAAGATCTAGATTACTGAAGCTCTTGTGTTAATAAATTAAGCAACAAACTTTTGATTAGTTTTAACTTGAAAATCTTAGCTCGGATTTAAAAATACGATCTTAACGCTAATTAATGCTTTTCACACTATTTTCAAGATAAATATTTTGCTTTTGATGCCAATCAACAACTTCTGTTAATTTTTTTAACTAAAGATTTAAAATTGTTCAATTTTTTTGTTTAACCTTAGATATAACTGTTAACTGGCTGAATGAAAATTTCTCAAGAAGCTATATTTTTTAATAATACTTGTCACTGTCGATAATCTCCTTTCCACTGGAAAAGTAAATCAAAATAATTTTAATCCTTTATCTTGAAATATCGAACTATGAAAGCCGAATTATAAACTGATATATCACAGTTTGTGAGAGCATGGGGTATGAAGAAGAGGTTCAAACAAATCAGTATTACTAAATAATATTAAAACTAAAATTAAAGTGCTACCAAATATCCATGTAAAAATTTTCATGTGCTACTCAAAGTCTAAATTGTATTTTACGTCCTTTCCAGTTTTTTATAATGTATTTACCTTTTAAAAGAAGAGAAAAGTAAAATGAAAAGCAAAATGGAACATTTGTAAAACATGATACTGATAGTTTTTTTTATTAATGTAGCACGCAAAATGGCTAAAAAAAATATATATAAAAATGCTGATGTGGGTCTGGTGATTCTGAAACTTCAAGGAAAAATTCTGAAACAGTAATCAAATATTTCGGAAACAGTCTTCAATATCAGCTGAGAGGGAGAGGCAAAGGTACACTTTATCACTGTAAATCAAGTTCATTTGTGGCGAAAACAAACCTTTATAAGAAATAGTAACTATTTCTTGAAGTATTCTGATAGTTATATTAATTTCAATATCAATGTCACATGATTCGATGTAAAAATGGACTTAAAAAACTAAAAACGAATATCATAACAATAATGAAAAGGTATATATAACTGCTGTACTTACAAGTGTCATGCGAATATCGCATTTGTATGCAGTCTGTTCCGTGAATGTAATGGTACAGAGTCTTTTCTATCAAATCTTGAGGTTGGTATCCTGTTAAGTTTGTCACCCTATAGAACGGAAGAACAAAATTTAAAATTAAATAATTTGCTACAATTCTTATGCAAAATTCTTAAGCTTTGGGTTCAGGTGCAAAAACTGTTTACAAATATATAACACCTTTTAATTCTTAACTTGCAGAACTCCTAAATATTCGTATACACCAGCTTCTAAAAGTGAAGCACGCAAGGAAAACTAGCAGTTTTGAGAAACATATTTGAATTTGAATGGCTGAAAATTGCTGCAGATGCAGATGCACTATGCAAATATGATACGTATGTATCTTATCGTACTGTCCGAGCATATGCTAATTAGGCAGTCGATGGTGATACCAGCATTCTGAAGGCTTTGAGGAAATTCATTTAAAGGTTGATACTAAGTGATTTTTTTCTTTAGCGGTGATCGTTTGGTAACGTCTCGAGAATTTTAAACAAGTCAAATAGCTATTAGGTGAATCTATACCCGGTAGAACAAGGGCTACCACCCTTTCTGAAGTTCGGAATACTGGTACAGGATACAGGCGAGATCGATGAGAGACATCTACAATTGTTATATTCATGGTTGCAGCGGTACTTAATAAGACAATATTTGCTAATATTGTGTGTGCGCCCAAGGCTTCACATTAAAAGATGTACGCTTAAGCACCAAGTATTAAATGTCCAGTCCAGAGGAGCAATATTAAAATACTATTGTCAACATCTGAACTAGACTGTTTTAGATTGGTGCAGTGTCCTGTTTACGGACATGTCCAGATTTGCGCTGGAATTAGTTGATAAGCGCGTGAAGAATGGAGGAACGTTCTCGTGTGGAGAAAACGAGGCACACGGAATCAGCTCTAGTCAACGAAAATTACGCATTCACAGGTGAAAGCATCAGTGTGATTGGATTTTCAGTGATATATCGGACTCAAGTGCGTATTTTTAAAGACGGTTCCGTGATGGCTTTGCGGTATCGGGATGAAGCTCTATTCTCCATTGCGAGAATCTGCTCTGCAGCAGTTAGTCCTGATTTTCTAATGGATGATAACGTTCGTCCACCATCGAGACAACATCGTTAAGGGAGATATATGACGATGTTTCTCGCATGGAGCGTCTACCGTGCTTCACCGATGTTAATCACATTGAAAACCTTTGCGATGTCATCGGATGTGAGCATCTGCGATGTTTGATCATTTTTTTCAAAACATGGGAAATTGCTGTAACGTTTGTGTGAAGCTCAGGATGGTCGCATACCTTATTAATGTAAGATTTGTTGAAGCTTTAACATCATTGAATGACCATGGAGATATATAAATTGCAATTTTGTTTTTTTACTGTTGGCAGATTTATTTTAATTTATGGGTGTATCTGCTTTATTTTACTGTGTTTACCTGTTCTTTTGAAGATGTAAGGATCTTAAGTTTTACTAACGTTTATTTTATTTTAAATCTTTACTATCACTTCTTATTTTCTACTTCCGGCCAGAATTAAAAGCTTTAACTTATTTATGCAAATTTGTCTTGCGAACGCCAAGTACTTAAGTTGTGGCTTTTTGCCAAGCAAGAGAGAGGAAGGAGTTAGTAGAAGCAGGCCGCTTGCCTTAGCAGTTTTACTCGGTTGCTGGTTGCCTTCAAGGCCAGAGGTTTAATCCTCTTGATAATTTTAAACGTATCGTAGTGTTAACAGTTCTCTGTACTACATACGGCCTTTCTGTTAATATACGGCCAATCTTCAAGTAGGCACTTGTTTATTAATCCAAAGTTAGTTTAGTTAGAGTTTAGTTAATATTTTTATATTCTTACGTTCAGACCACAAGTGGTTGGTCTCTGTATTCCGAAGTCCGGAAATCATTGTAAAGAGAGAAAAATAAAGGGTTTCGTATACCCTTCTTGTGTGTATTGTCTACTTCCCACATTTATTGAACATAGCTTTAGTAAGCTCCCTGTTCCGAGTCAGGTCATTTAATGTTCCCAAAGCAAGTAAGGAGGAACACAAGAACCTGATAGTGGCGCCCGACGAAGAAGAATAACCATGGCCGAGTTTCAAGAAGAACCTGTGCTGCCTGCAGAAGCGGCTCAGAATCCAGAAATGCCAGCTGCCGCCCTGGAAGGATTTGGTTACATCGTCCAGACCATGCGCGCATCGATGAAACCAGAAGCAACATTTAATGGAAACTCACCGGTAACCAGTTTTTTGGAAAAATTGGATGACCACTTCATGCTGTATCCCGTGCATGAGTTCCAGAAAGTCACCTTAGCTACCAGCGCTTTGAGGGGCCAAGCGCTTAATTGGTTCAAATGTATAGGCAGAAGTCTCTTGGGTCAAGCGGGAAGTCCCACCTATACTTACGAAAATTTCAAGACTGCCTTAGTAAAAGCCTTCCCTGTCGTAAGGGATCGTGCAAAATTAGAAACGGAACTTTTCAGCATATATCCAGCAAACGAATCGAAAATCTCTCAAGCTTTATTTTAAGAAAAATTCACGTCTTCAAACTCTTGTATGGAAACCGTCCGGATCCTGAGATAATTCAAGTGATTTTGCCGAGGTTACTTCCCCAAGTACAAGACTTTATTGAATTAAGGAATCCGACTACACTGGAAAAGTTATTTGAGCTAGCAATCCAGTTTGAAAGTAGAAGAACGGCGGACATTGAAAGAAGACGCCAGTATGAGCAACGAAACCAATTTGGTGCGCCAAGACCACAGCAAAGTCAAGAACACGGCTACGGAAGCAAAGCGAATCAGTGGGCAAGGAAACCCGAGTATCCAAAAACAACCGGCGAACGTCGACAGTTCAATAGTAATCCAGGAAAAAAGTCTGAAGGCCAGTGGAAAAAGAAGGAAAAGCATGGAAAGGAAAAAAAAACAAGATTTAAACTAAAACGGATTTCTGCTGACGGGAGGGTGCGGAAATCCGAAGGCCAAGAAAACCCCTCTTCCCTCAAGTTAAATACAGTGATGGTGAAAAATTTGACTCTTCCAAAGATTGAAGTGTTGGTGAATAACATCCCAGCCACCGCACTCCTGGATACAGGCGCGCGCAGTGTTCCTGTGTGGCAGAAGATTTTTTTAGGAAGTATTTTCGTAAATACCGCATATATAATTCGGATAATACGACAGTGTTAGCTGCGCAGGGAGAAAGATGCAAGTGCATAGGTAAATTACCGCTATATACGTTCGTATCAAGGACGAACAAGTAAAGATTATGTTTTTTTTTTATAGTAAAGAATTTCTGCAAGCACATATCATCTTAGGAATAGATTTTCTTTCAGAGGCAGAAGAAGCAACGCTGGATTTTAACGAAGCGTCCCTTAAGCTGACGATGATGAAACCAGTTCGAGAAGAAAAAACAGAACCACCAATGTTAAACCTTGACCACCTGCCTAAGGAAGAGCAACAAAAAATCCGACAAGTGGTAAGTGAATTTGCTTCGTTATTTAGTGATATTCCAGGATTTACTCAAGTTACTAACCATAGTATCGACACCGGAGATTCACTGCCAGTTCGCCACAAACCATACCGGTATGATAAGAATAAAGAAAAAATTATAGAGTGGCACATTAGAGATATGTTACGTAAAAAGATCATAACGCCCATCTCAAGTAGTTATGCTAGCCCGGTTGTTTATGTAAGAAAAAAAGAAAAACAATGACTATCCAGTAACACATCCAAAAAGGTGGCGTTTTGCGATTGACTATCGTAAATTAAACTCCATGACTAAATATCCGGTATATCCGTTACCTATTATTGAAGAAATTCTAAGGAACATAACTTCTACCAAATACATGACGACTTTAGACTTAACGACTGGTTATTTTCAAATAGGGGTTAGACCGGAAGATGTGCCTAAGACTGCTTTTATAACCAAGTCTGGCACTTATGCATTCCTGCGTATGCCGTTTGGCCTTTCAGGGGCACCGGCAACATTTCAGCGATGTATGGACATTGTGCTAAGGCCTGTTCTTGGAAAGTCCACATTTATCTATTTAGACGATATCATTATTACTAGTGATAATCTGGACCAACATGTACAGGATTTAAGACAGGTGTTTTCATTATTAAATGAGGCCGGTCTAAAAGTTAATGTCGAAAAGTGCAAATTTGCAGCCCCTGAATTAAAATACTTAGGTTACAAAATATCTCAGAAAGGAATCGAGACAGACGAATCAAAAATAATCGCTGTGCAAAAGTATCCGCCGCCAAATACGGCGAAGAAGCTCTCTTCTTTTCTAGGACTTTGTTCATATTATAGGTCCTTTATAAAAGATTTTGCAGCTATTGCTGAACCATTGTTAAAATTAAAAAGGAAAAAGGCAAGATTCTCGTGGACGGCCGAAGCCAATAGTGCTTTCGAAAAATTAAAGCAAGCATTAACGCAAGCCCCTGTTTTGAAATTTCCTGAAAACGATGAGAATTTAGAAATTTCAGTGGATGCTTCGGATTATGCGGTAGGAGCGGTACTTTCGCAAAATCAGCAGCCCGTGGCATTTTTTAGTAGAACTTTAAATCAAACACAAAGAAATTATTCCGCGACCGAGAGAGAGAGGCACTTGCAGTTCTGTTAGCAGTGCAAAAGTTCCGAGTCTATTTTGGAAAGGCGCCAATAACAGTGTATTCTGATCATGCGGCGGTAACTAGATTGTACTCAGGGAAAAACTTATCCCCAAGGTTAATAAGATGGGCACTAAAGTTACAAGAGTATAATCTGGTAATTAAGCACACGCCCCGGAAAGGAAAATATCGTAGCAGATGCCCTATCCAGAATAAAAATAGATGAAGAAGGTAATACTGTAAAGGTGGCAATGCTCACAGCATGTACAATAAATTCCCGAGAAACTGTAATAACCGAACTGAGTAAGGATCCTGAATTTAAAAATTTATGAGTTATTTAAAGGATCCTGAAAATTTTAGCCACCAAGATATTGTGGCGATAAGAAATAGGGCGGCCCATTACGAACTAATAGATGGTCTATTATTTTATACAAAAACTACGAATTCCAACAACGAATTTCGACCTGTTATCCCAGCTAGTCTTAGATTAAATATACTGCAGGAGTTACACGACTCCCCCGTTAGCTTCTCATGCTGGTATTCGAAAAACCATCCAACGCGTACGCGAAGCAGTATATTTTCCTGAGCTGCAAAAGTTAACAAGGACGTATGTCCAGTCCTGCCCAACATGTCAAGCAGTTAATTATATTAATTTCCGCCCGGCCGGGTTTCTAAATAGTATTAAATCCGGAATTTCCAAATGAAATAATTGGCATCGATTTATTGGGCCCTTTCCCAAAAAGTCAGTTAAATAAAAGTCGGCTATCTCCTTGTTATGGTTGATCATTTTAGTAAGTGGATCGAAATTGTTCCCTTAAAACGAGTCTCCACGAAATTGGTTACTGATTCTATTTTAAATAAATATATTTTAAAATACGGGGCGCCCCCAAAGTAATATCGGATAATGGCCCTCAATTTGTAAGTAATATATTTGAAGACATGTGCCAAAAACTGGGCATACGTCATTTAAAAATGGTCCCGTATCGGCCGCAATCAAATATAGCGGAACGGGTCAATAGAAATATAATGAAAATTGTCCGTAATTATGTTAAAAAATTTTCATAAAAGCTGGGATTAACTATGTCAATGAATTAGCTTTCGCCCTTAGGACCGCAAAACATGATACGACGGGCAAAACTCCTGCTGAGTTATTTTTAGGCAGAAAGATTATAACGCCGTTAGATAAATTATTTTATGTTCAACAAAGAGCCCCAGAATTTAAAATGGGCAATATAGAAAAAATTAATTAAAGAAGCAAAAAAGAACACTGAAGTAGCACAGAGAAAACAGAAGCTTTATTATGATATGAAACGACGGGGAGTAACTTATAAAGTAGGAGATGAAGTGTTAAAAATTAAGCATTCACTTTCTTCAGCACCAGAAGATAAAACTGCCAAATTTTATCCACGATTTGAAGGACCATATGTCATAGAAAAAGTAACTCAGGCTGTAGTGGTGTTAAAAGCCAGGAATGGTGAAACCTGCACCGCAAACGTTGACCAGATAAAACCATTTTATAATCGTAATAAAATGCCAATATTTCAAGATCTTTTGCAGGATCCGGCACGGCAGGCAGGCACAGGCAGGCACAAGCTCCAGAGGTGGAACAACAACGACAATCCCAAGGGCAAGCCATTAGTAGACAGGAGCAATTGAAAAGAAAGTTCCCCCGTTGGAAAACTGAAGGTAACAAGAAAAAAAGAAGTCGTTCCACCGACCAGAAAAGAGAGAGCGCACGACCACCCCCAGAATGAAGAAGGGAGAAGTACGACTAATGCAAAGAGAAGCCAGGAGAAATGACAGCAACTATAACACGGCTCCAAAACAGAAGATCTACCCATCGGATAGGAGTCTACGCAGCAAATGTCGACGAATTGATGAAGGAAGACCAGCTGCAGATGCAAAGACGCAAAAGAAAATTTGAACAGCCAGCAACGAGATCCAGGCAACAACGAGAGAGAAGTTGTCCCGGTTCCGCCAAGACCAGCTGCCATCAAACGGCCGAGACCACAGGCAGAGGCTAAAAAGAAGGTCTTCAAGGGTGACCGAACTGGAAGGAAAAGAAAGCTCATAGAGGAAGACGGGGACTGAAGGAAAAAAACGAACAGAAAAAAAGTATTTCCCATGGTTTAAAGACAAATAAGAAAAATATTTAATTGAATAATAATGTAATTTTTCAACTTATTATGAGAAAATGATGAAGGGTACTCAACTAAATGAATAGTAATTGATCCATATATTTAACAGATTCACGAGGCTGATAAAAATATACATGTATGCAAATATTCGACATATTTCTACAAGAGCTAATTTTCACATTCAATCGGCCTTGATTATATATTTACACGGAATTTGTATTCCTGAAGAATATTTCGTGATTTAACATGAATTTCTGCTTTAATCTAATCAGTACCGTACTATAAAAGTGTAATTTGAGATTTTACGTATACATAAAAGATTACTTACCTGGCATCAAGGAAAATGAGCCTCAGATCCATGTTAGCCCTGAACATGAACATGTTAGAGTACATCTTAATTTCGGTAATGGCACTAGGGGGTAAAGAATGACCCACGGCCACCAGTCCCATATTTTGGAAGCAACTGTCGTAAGGGGAGGCCTCGACATTATACCTCTGGACTTTCAGGTAACCGCTACAGTGAATTACCTGAATACGGGAAAATACAAGTTATTTATAACAGAAATAACAGTAGAAAAATCCAGTGTAATACTGATATTAAACGTTTGTCTTCACATGCCTTTAATTTAATGTTTTAGTATATTTCATGTGAAATGGTTTTAATGCTGTAATTGAATTTTATCTTTCAGCTTAATCTCAAAAATTACTTCTTTGTCATTTTATCATGCCAATCGTTTTCCCTGAATGAACGTTTACCTATAATATTGAATAATAGCTATAGAATAATTTTAATGTATAATTAATGCAATTAATTTTATAAATGTGCATATTTACCGAAAACACTATTTAGGTAGGGTTTAATGAAGAACCGACTTTCTTAAAAAACCGGTTTTAACCGGATTTAGAATTTTTGTCAAAAAAAAAAAAAAAAAAAAAAAAAAAAGAATACGGAAAAATATTTTATTTAATTTATATAAAATAACGAAAAACGAAATCAATATCAAAATATAAAAAAACTAAGAATTACATATACATATTACTTACACAAAACAACGATTCAAACAAAAATTTCAAATAGTACTTATATTATTTTCACTAACTTCAATATCTCCTAAGGAAATGGGATTTTAAAAAACATAAAATATCCACTGAACGGTGGCTACGTCTTGTTCTTATTTTGGACATAATATTACCTGAAATTAAAAATACTGGTTCACTAGCTACTGAGTTTGGTTTCATAGTTTTCAGGGCATTAAATAACAAATCTAAGTGTTTTGTTCTTTTATTCGTTGCCTCAAATAATGAAAATTCAGCTTTCAGTGTCGTTGGATTTGTAAGTTTTTCTTTAAGATCTTCAATAAACTTATGAATTGATTTTTCTATGGCTTCTTTTAAAAAGCATTACTCTGATGAATAGTTTCTTTGATTTGCTGTTCATCAGAATCGGTTTCCACCTAAGACTTTGGAAATATTCTAGACAATATCTTTCCAAATAGCTTAATAATTTCGGTTTTTGAAGTTAAAAAGTAATGCTTATCGAAAAAACTCCCACAGGCTAAAAGAACATTGAACTATTATTCGTGATTTCACCAAGGACATTAAACATGAAAAACTTATGAGAATTTTCGACAAGAAGAAACGAGTGCAGACATTTCCGGATGAATGGGGATCCTTTCCAACAACTACTACAGGGCAGGTCGAATTTATGTACTGCAATACTAGTGCGAGACAGGTGTATAGTTACCTTTCGAAGGCAGTGCATAAAACAATGTTTCACAAACTTTTATCTGCAGGCCGCAAGTTGTGCTCAAATCCTGCCTTTGTAGTCCTCCCAGATTTCCCCAAATGACAAAAAAAAATAAAAATCAATTTAGCTGCCCATACCTCATTATAAATGGAAAATCTCAAAATTTGAACATTAAACATGGCAATCGTCTATGGTTTTTCTCATAACACTGACATTTTATAAAATTTATTAATATGTAATATGTATTTAATTTTATAACAGTTATTTTAATTTTGAGACCCTTTCCTTTCAATTCTTGTTTCCCACTTGCAACTCCCTACCAGAATGAGGTTTTAGAATCGCGTTGAATGCAAATGAGTTAGAAGTAGTATTTATTGTAAGCTCAACTAACTCTGAGAGAGTGAGAGTGCTAGAAATCCTCAGTGGCGAGCGTTTGCCTTCTGGCTAATTCATTATTGAAACTGTTACGATCGGCCGTATTATACGTGCCTATTAATATTCGCCAGCTAGTTTAATTTAGGGGCCAACTGCATTAGATAATTGTTCCTAGCTTCAGCTAAGTTTAGTTTTAGTTAATATTAGATTAGTTTCTTATTCTGAGTTAAAGAACGAGTAGAGGCTTTCCTGTAAGCCCGAGAAGGGGCCGACTGTTATTGTTTAGTTCAGTGAATAAAAGTGTAAATTAACCCTTCTCGAGTCTACGTCTCAGTTGTCTGAACTGAGCGAAATTCGCTACGTATTTCACTGAGTTTCTTGACGTTTTATCGTAGACAAATTGCGAGAACATCATTAATGATTACCTAACTTTCGGACTTCCCAATCTATTCTTAGCAACAAAAACACATGACCGGAGCTTCTTCCTAGAGTATACCCAAATATGTAACTGCTTTCATGAATCGGTAGATTTATCTATCTCATTCAAATGAGTACTAATATTTGTTTAATTTTTAATTTATAAGAAAAATATTATCCGTAGTCTAATAACCTTGAATTATTAAAACCTAATATAAATTTTCTTTTATTAACCTAATTACTCAATACAGTATGAAATTTAATGAATTTTAATTTCTTTATTTTAAAAATGTAAATGGTTAACATATACTAACAAAATAGCTTCCAAAGGGAACAAGAGTAAGGCGGTCCTCAGAACATTCTAATTTATAAAAGTGGTTCCCACTTAAAAGGTTTGTGAAGCACTGGTATAAACAATACAACTCACTGTTGTAATTTATATAAGTATTTGTATTTTATTTACTTGTATTTTGCTGTATAATGGTATCTATTGACTTGGTACTGTTCTGTAATTTTTTGATTTATTTATTAGTATTCAATTATTTATTTAGTATGTCATAATTCTGTATCCATATATTGAATATTTTAAGTGATTTTTATTAGATAGTAATTTTAGTATTAAGTGTTCAACTGATGCTTATTACTCTGTATGACTTGAAAACATATGTTAGAACTTCGGAAACAGATCAAGAAGAAGAGGCGACACAGAAGTTTTTAAAGCCAAAACCCTTTATCAGGATATGATAAACACTTTTTGAGAAATTCTTCGGCTGCATTTGATAATCTTTCACCAAATTTTGAAGTTGGTAGGAAACGCATTTTTAAAGCATATTTTTCTAGAATTTTTCTGGTGTCGTAAGCCCGCCTCTTGGCAATGCCATAATTTGCAAATTTTTGATCTAGTTATGCTGCATGTTTAGGACCGAATTGGCGGTATCTCTTCCTCGTTCAGGAGAACTTAACAGCATTATTTCTTGTTTCTCCTTGAGTTATATTTATTTGAAAATCTCCTTTTATAAAAACAGTATGGATAGAAGATTACATATAGATTAGAGATACAATAACGATGCAGGTTTTCCTCTTTATCTGTGCTGTTCATTTCAAAGGTCTACACTAAATGTTACACGTTACAGAATTAAAATTCTTCAAATCATTCATTGTTTCATCCTTGAATTGGAATCCCATTCGGTAAAACCGTACTGGATTGGATTATTTGCTTATGGTAAAACACACTACGGTTTTACATTTAGAGGAAGTGATCCTTCGGGGAGGATTGTCTAAGGAAAGCTGGCTCGTATTCACGTTTCGCATGAGGAAAATCACCCTATTTAGAAGAATAATTATAATGTTATCTTACAGTGAAACGTTAATGAAACGCAAGCTTTCTCCCAAATAAAATTTTTGATAAATGAAATCCAAAGTAGAAGGTAGAATAAAAATAGAATTTTGAGAATATGAAATATGCCATTAATAATACGCAGTGAACGTTTACTAAGACGATTCTAGATAGCCAGATGATTTTAACTTTAACTTTTTTTTTATCTGCAGAGGGAACGATTAAGAGAGATTTAGAGAAACGATGTTCAACATCGATGCTTATTTATTTTCTCAGAAATTCTAGTCACTTTCAGAGACTGCAATTAAAACACATGTTTGTGCATGAAGATATATTGTTAACATTTACTAAAATAATTTCTAAACAAAAGCTTTACATTCCAAATCAAAACGAATAAATACTTACTTTATAGCCACCGGAAGTCAGACCTGCATTTCTCTTGGCAAGAACGCACTTCATTCTAACGAAGAACGACCTCTCTAATTCGAACTCCACTAAAAAAGAGAAGCAAACAAATCTTCGGTCATAGAATAGCAAAGTAATACCATGCAAATTTTAATGAAAATTTTAATTAAAATTTGCATATAAAAATACATTCATTTTTTGTTTGTTTTGTTTTGTTTTCATTCTTTCAAAGGAAGTGCAAAAAATACAGATATAATAACAATAAATTTAAAATTTCCTTCCTTGAAAATAAATTCGTCGAAAGATATATAGAACCAATGCGAAAATTTCTGAATTCATTGAATCAAGAAAAATAATTACTTTAAATTAACAGCGACTTAAAAATGTTGGTGAAAAAAGATATCTAGCGAGAGTACTGAAAGCTGTAAGCGGCCAAACAGATATAGCAATGAAAGTATAAGGCCATTTTTTCTTTGTTTGTGTGTGTGTAAAGAAATATAACTGAACGTCGTTACTCGAGCTAATGTGAGCTAATACTCGAGCTAATGCTAAGCTATCTTTCAAGAAGTCGATTTCAAAGCAAATGAAAACATTTTAAGTACAGACATCCCTCCTGTAACATACAAGATAGGTTCCTGTTGTATGAAACCTTGTTATGCGAGACTAATAACCAATACAAAATAGAGGGATGCATTCCAAAAGCTAAATCTTTTAATGGTTCTTCCCAGTGTTGCCTCATTTTAAATTTACACTTTCCGCAATGTCAGATGGCAGTATATAAATAAATAAGTTGTCATTATGTAGTACATACGATGGCATAGTACAACCGTTTTATCGAAGTATACATATGCATAAAGTGTTACGAGTATAAGAGGGTTTACGCAATTTCATTAATCCGCTAGAATGAAAGCGTATTGTTGTGCTATACGAGGGTTTCTGCAATTTCTTATCATGAAAAAGCGAAATCCTGTTATAAGAGGGATATGTGTACTGGAGTTTGCTTGTAGAAAGTTTATAATCACAGTGCAACGATACTTGTGCACTTCACAGAAACTGTATTTGAAACGGCACGAAACAGTTTAGATTTACTGGCTGTTTATGCTCTGCTAAGAGATCGAGATGCTCACCAATTTCAGAAGAAAAATTGGACGATATTAGGAAGTAGTAAGAATCCAAAGAACTCGACAAGGTGAGCTGATAGAGAAGTGCCAAAGCTTCACAGTATAGCGTATCCTACGAAATCAAATGTGTTATCTCCATGTACGTTAGGGTTCATACAAGAACTAACACTTGACAACAATTCAAAACGCCGCAACATTTACATGGAAATTCAGAAAGCAAAGGATTTGTTAAAAGGGCAGGGGCTAAGTTACCTTCCACCTCAGTGGAAAGTAAGTTGTCATCACAGGCATATGAGACTCAAAAACACCCAAATGTCTTAGTAAAGCATAAAAGGCATTGTTAAAAGTGAAAATGTTTTCGGTATTGAGCAAACACTCAATGTGTACAATCTCTTCACTATTGCTGGCCATTCCTATCTGAACCTGATAACAAAGTGATTTATGTCTCAGCTGAAAAAAGATCTTCCTAACTTAGCAATCTTCCAACTGAAGGTAACATGGATTCGGTTTCAGACGAAGGAGCTCGTTGCATATATATTTTCATAGTTTTCTTCTGTGTAATGAGGATTCGAGTCTATTTCCATTAGAAAGTCTTCCAAAGAGGCATCCCTCACTTTAGGCAAATGTCCCTAGCGTGCTTTGCCATAATCAAGCGAAACAAACTATCAACTAGATATTGCCTCCTCCCATTCCCATTTGCACATTCCTTGTGATTTAAATGCCAATCTGCTGGAATGTTGGATCGGGCATGTAGTGAAAACAATTTGCCAATGCTGCTCTGACTTCTAAATTAAATAGATGCAATGCCCTGTGGTTCCTATTTACAGGGTTACATCAGTGAGACAATGCATCTGCCTCTTATGACACAAAACCTTGAAGAACTAAATGTCTGTCTCCGAAGCAGAAGCAATTTCTGGCGATATGCTAGAACACGTTTGGGCATAATTTGAGTAGATATCTGCTGTGTCATAAATAGGTACTCATACCGAACGCTTGGAATGATGCGATATGTTATTTCATACTGAAAAAAATAAGAATTAATTTTCTCCATTACTTCTAAATCCCTTTGAGTACAGTTAATGCATTAAATCTTCATATCGAAAAGTACTTAGCCATTTAGAGTTTTCAATTGCAAAACAAAAAGTTTTTTTCGATATTTGAAGTGTACAAAGACTCTTAAGGTTAACCTTTTGGAACATAACATTTCTATAATTATAAAATTTTAATATTTAAATTGCTCTTTCATTTTCCTTTCTTCATTTTAAGAAGGAATATTTAGATATTTATTTTACCTTTGTCAAGCAAATATTCTAACTTCAATTTATATGGCATTAATATAATTATTGAAGTAATGAATCCAGTTCATATCTAATATTTCGGAAAGCAGGTTTAACAAACTTCAATTCACCAGAATGTACGGGCTTGTTCTCTTATTATTAGTCTCGTTAGAATAGGATTATATTAGATGAGAAGAATCAGTTTTGATGTCTCCCTTTAAATCTTTCAGGTTTAGAGACTGCCGCCTTCGCCCATAAATCTGTCATAGTTTGTAAATCAGTAAATTTGTTTGCAGACTTCGTAAATATAATCTTGTAGATCCCAGCATCAGAGAAAAGCAAAGTTTTCCTTAATGACCTCTAACTAAACTAGAGCTTTGTGAGGAAAAAAACGCTCGAGTTTATTTCTTCATTGCATACTTATTCATACTCAAACAATTTACTCAAGAACTCAAACGGCTTACCATCTAAGGATGCTAAGTTAATTGCTCAATAAAAAACAACGAAATGTCTTAAAATACTATCGAAAAATGTTAAAAAAATTTAGCAATAAAAATGGAAGATTAAGGAGAGTTTATTCCTGTTGTTTCCCTAATATCTAATTTTTATTTTAGAAAAAGTCAAGATGTGCTGAGAAACAGAAAGATAATAAATCATAACTGAAGGAAATTCAGTTTTCTTAAGTAAAGTAAAATTGTAAGCGAATCACTACTATAATATTAAACTCAAGAAACTGACAATTTGAATATATTTGAACTGACTATGTTTTGTATATAATGTAAAGCTGCAAAAAGATTTTTTTTATTCCTTGTACTCGTTTAAAGCTCCAAGCTGCAGTATCATTGGTCCAAGTTGCAGTATCATTGGTCTAAAATGGTGATGGTAAACGCAGATCATGTTAGGGCGTGAGAGAAGATTACTTAATATTCTAATGGACAGAGAGGAGTGAGACGTACTGACCACCCTGTGGCGCTGGAACTTGGTGGTGGAGGGGCGGCGGCTGCAAGGCAAGTACAGCGGCCATTTCGTCGTGGTCTGTAGGGTCGATGTATTCATAAATGCTATTACCAGTCAGCTCGACCTGAAATGAGAAATTTCAAAATCAAGATTTTGCATTAGTGGTGTATTCTGTTTTGAAACTCATATAAAGTGAGTTTTCGTTTTACGTTACACGTTCAAACGAACGCTTTGGGCTTATATTTCCAATTTAACCAACTTGTGATTGCTTAACAAGCTGAGCGATTTAAAAGCAAAAAAACACAGTTCTTAATAATTTAAACATTTATTCCTTATAATATAACAAACTGACACGAATTAAAATACATGAAAAGTCATTAAATAAATTTAAAAAAATGGGCCATCTCAAATGTACCAAGGTGAGAAAATCTTGGTACATCTGAGATACGATTTTTCCTTTTTATATGAATTTTAATGTCTTAACGGAAATTTTTATTGATTCTTTTTTTCGGTTTTTGATCTCAAGTGAACCAGAAGAACGAAACCCGCTTTCGAAACATATTAATCGACTTTTATGAAGCTTTAATAACCTGAAGAATTCTGAATTGGAGTTTCAGTAAAACGAGATTAATTTATATTTTTATATTTTTATTGTCTTGTATAGTTTTTTTCCCGATTTTATTTTCATTTTTATTTTTAAAGTTTATACTACTAGGAATTCTTATTTTAATTTTGATTTGTTTTAGCTATTGTGTAAAACCTCTCATACACGTTTGCAATTATTAATACTATTAATACTGTTGAGGAATTGCCTTGCTGTGACTCCAGTTTACTTTTAACTTTAGACTCTTTAAGTCTCTCTCTATATATATTATTTCAAAAGAATAAAGACAAATTAAATTTAAATAATTTTCTTGCGCCAGTGCTGCAAGGAACGAAATTTGAATTTTACAAACACTCTCTATTCGTAAAAAGCAAATTCAAAGTCAAACAAATTTCAAATGAAATTGAATTACAAATAAATGATTAATTATTGCTTTTACCCTTGCCTACGGGGATGACGAAACACGAATTGAATAATTGAAGAGTTAGGTTTGGAGGCAATTTCCCCTTCATAAGTCTGTCTCCTGCCTGCTCAACAATTACTCACTTATGCATTTTTATAAATTTTTAGGATTAAAAAATTTATTGGAATTCTGTATTCATAGATTTTGATACTTGCACTTGATTTACATATGCTCTCAGAAGTTAAATGATATTGTATATTAGTTCGCAGCAATAATTAATCATTTGTTTGTAATTCAATTTCATTTGAAATTTGATTGACTTAGAATTTGCTTTTTACGAATAGAGAGTGTTTGTTAAACTGAAATACATATATATATATATAGGCTGCTAAGAAGAGGAAAGTTAAGATTAGCTTAAGCTTTAAATTATTTGATACAGCAATTCCAAAGTATACATGTAACACCAAGTTAAAACAATTATAATAAAGTAAAGCAGTTAAAGTGTATGAGAAAAAAATCTACTGGAACTACTACAAAATAAAATAAACTACAAAAACTAAATAGGAAATTAAAATTTAAAAAAAAAATCTAAACAACTACATCATAGGGTGTACGCTTAAAAATTAAATACATTTTAAAGACAAAGATATTACATAAAAAATCCAAACAAAGGTCAATTAGCTCAATTCGAGACTTATCAGACAGACTTATCAAGGGAAAAGTGCTTGAAAACTCCAATTTAGCTAATGAAATAGGCACATTTCGTCGAACTTAACAATTGAGATTGAAAGCGGTAATTCATAATTAAATTATTAAATTAATTTATCTTATTCTAGCTAAGTCTCAATAGCTTCATTCCTTTTCCCGACATGTCTGTAAGTTAAATTCAGATTGAACTAAAGAACAAAATTGAAATTAAAACAAGAAAAAATTTTTACAAAAAAACTGAAATCTTAAAGCAGATGTAAGAAAAACCTATACAATATGGCCTGTGCTGGCAAATGTACACTAAAAAAACAGCGTAAAAGCTGTAAGTCATAATACTACACACACACACACACACACATATATATATATATATAATATATATATATATATATGTGTATAAAATATCGCTTTTGAAGACAGATGTACGTATTTCAAACGAAAAGGTGACAATACTTACTTGTGACAATCCAAGATGGACGGAGGCAGTTTCTGAAATGTACATGATTTTGCCATCAGGCGCCACAACGAACACGAATCCGTCGAGGGTCTGTAATATAAAAAAATAAGATTAAATTAAAACACTTTGATTGAATTATTATAAGAGGTTTATTGGATCAAATTATGAGTTTTAAAATTTAGACAGAGATTTATATCGGTTGTTTGATCAACTATGGCAAGGCAAATAAATCTGCTAAAGAAGTAAATATTTTAGTGGAAGCAAGACTCGTGTTTGCAGATTGACAAATTTGAAAACTAACACAGTTTCATGAATAACTTTTTGCAATTATTTTTTTAAAAAATTTAACATCGAAAGATTCTGTTTAGAAAATATGAATCTCGGCGAGGGGGCAACTGATACTAAGCTTCTCTTTCGGTAGCAAAAACGCAAAAATGAAAACACCTAGTTTTACAAAAACGTAAATGTAATTATTTGTAAAACAGGCTTTTATTAAACTTCGTTAGTTAACTAATTAAGGTAAATAGATGCATTTATTATCTCACAGCAAAGTACAGCCCTTTGGTTAATCAAAATCAATTAGTCAGGGTTGGTAATTTAATTAGAAACTGCTTTTCGTGTGGGCTATTTATCTCCCACATGGAAGCAAGCTTTTTAATACAAACAAATAAATAATACAAAATAACACATATCAGTGTTTTCGTTAAATCCATAGCTCAACAGAAAGGAATATTTCGAAGCTCTTCAATGACTTAACAGACACTAAACTGCTAATTACAAAATCGTAGGTTAGTACAAAGTGTTATAGATTCTGATCTTAGTCAATAAGGTGATTAACTTTAAAAGTTGCCCTGTTATAATATTTTTTGTCATCACCACAAGAAAGATTTAATCACATTCATTTTTGGATAAAATTATTTTTAATTCTTGACTTTAAATCAAACGTTAGATCAATTATTCCAAAGATATAATGCATATATGTATGTTTTTCATCTGTATATTTAAATGGAAACATTCAAGCAAGGAAAAAAAAAGAGATGGGAAAGTATGTAGAACATAAAGACTGATCCAGTTGGCTTGTAATTTTAGAAACAAGCACTACAGTTAGTAATATGCATATATTTTCTATATATTCTGCTCTACTCTGTCTGCCAGTACTACGTGTCTACGCTTGAGTCAAGTGCAAGCCATTAATAGTGGCAATCAGGTAACCTCTATGAGTTTTACCGCCCAGCACTAAAGCAAATGTCGCCGCTTCCTTTCCAACAAATTTTTTGTTAATTGTATAGGCTAGTTTTACCGCTTCCAAAATCTCGAAGCCATGAGTAAATGCACAGTCTTCAAGGCAATAGAAATTAACTGATTTAGTATGCAGGGAACTAGTACATCACGTGTGAACATTTTCAGAAATGAACTTATTTTTATATTTTCAATCACGCATCAATTCATGCTAGTGGTTCCTCCGGACCCCCAGTGGTTCTTATGATAGCTGAAGGCATCTGTGGTAAATGAAAATTAATTTAGGTGTACGTGGGCAATGTAGAGGACCCGTACATGATTTAATATAAAGTAAAATAATTGGGATCCATTTTCATTATATGAAAGTTCAAATAAATAGCAATAAAAATTGGAAGCAATTTTGCGCTCTGAATAAAATAAAACAAACGGTGTCTTTTTTTTTTCTTTCACACACGACAGTATGCGAAGAAGAACAAATGTACACAATATAGAGTTATGCAATATATGGTTAAAATATGGTTTCATTCCGTTCCCATGATATAGTACTTTACCTGTCTGCTTCCTATGCAATAAAATTTTGTCAAACGAATCACTGAAGTTTGAGGAATATTTGACAAAAATCCACAGCAGGAAAACAGATAAAGATTTAACTTTCTTTAAAACAGACAAAGAAGGATATTTGAAAACAGTCAGTGCAACAACATCTGAGCGGGATGGCGATGAACTCAGTGGTTCCTATAACATTTCTTTATTGACTGCAGTGTTGAAAAGCTGCACGCCATTGGTGAAGAACTTATCTATCAGCTGTAAATGAGGCTTAACGCGCCCTGCTGCATAAACCAGCTTTCGATATTGTACGAAGGATTCTACTGAGTAATAATACAGTATAAGGAAAGAATGACTCAGTGCATAGAAAATTCTTTATGTGAGTTCTCAACAACATCTGGATTCTTGAAACAGATTGATGAACTTCGCCAGGAAACAAAGCCAATGACCTTATGTGTGATTTGTAAAAGAAGAAAAACACTTCTCAAGAACCGTTATTTTTTCAAACGTTTGGAAGCTGATACGAAAGGTGAAACAATTCTAAATGAATTAAAAGATTTTTCGATATAAAAGCTATACCCTTGAGTAATATCCTTGCCGTTGCTATCGAAGGTGCTCCAGCAATGGCAGGACGACACCGAAGTTTTCGTGTATACTTGAAATAAGATATATTGAAAGTATATTACGTGTACATTGTGTCATTCATCAGCAACATTTAGTCGCCAAAAATCTTAGTGAACCCTTGGCTCATTATGTCATTAGAGCAGTCAATAAAGTCTAAAGAAATGCCTTAAATGGGAAGTTATTTTTTCAATTTTGTTTAGGAAATACTAAAGATTATAATTCGAAAGTTCGTTGGTTATCCAAAAGTTCATCGATTTTTGGATTTATTTAATGCACTCTTTGATTCAGAGTTGTAATTCCCGGAAGTTAGAAATCTACTGCTCAGTTTAATTAATTAAAAAAATGACATAGCTTATTTGACTATTTAATTTAAAGCTACAAGGTGATCAACAAAATTTAATCAAAACTAAAAGTATAATATATGCGTTTATTACAAATTTTTCTATACAAACAAAACTTGGGAAGAGGAGAATCCTTTCAGTTTACAGATTTTTCAAAATTGCTAAAACTAGATGAAGAATTGCTTGCTTATGGTCAATAATTAACAGCTCTACATTCTGACCTCAGCCAAAGATTTGAAGTCCTACTTTACTTAGTTAATCTCGATTGAGTGATGGATCCGTTTGCAAGTAGACTCATAAACTCAGATGAATCCATATTAACAGAGGGGGAATTTATTATCCACAAATGAGAAACTGAAACCGTTGTTTGAACAAGGATATCACACACATTCTGGTAACAGAAACAGATGGCAGTTTCATATCTTGCATTATAGATCACTATAGCTGCTGAATGCTTTTCCATAACTTTCTAATTAGTATAACTTGTATTTAGCACAGCTGTAATCTTTATTACAGAAAAAAAGAAACCTACTGAAAATTAATGCATATGAGGAGATGAAAGATGCTACGTTCTGGAAATGCAGCAATGAATCTGACAATACCGGAAGCGTTTCTAAACAAGGCTTAGTACATTAAAATATTGTACAGAGTCTGCAAAAGTTTCCGCATCATGTCCAGATTTGTATGGATCAGAATGCTGACATATATTAAAAGTAGACTATTAAAGACAGATTTAAAAAGATCCAGTTTAAAAAAAATATAATAAAACTGTATTTAAAAGCATTTTTAAAAGCTTTAAAAGTTAAACTGCCATTTAAGATTATATACAAAAGTAGTAAGATACAAACGAAATGACTAAATTAGAAACCGCTCTCCTCTTTAAAATACAAAATTAAAAAAAAAATCAAATTAGGTTTCTTAGAATTCATAACGTTGAATTTTAAAATAAGTTTCATGCTCTCGATAATTCTGAGCTAAACGGGGAGCAAGGAACAAAGATGAAGTAAAACGGGGCTTTTGTTTTATATATTATATTCCGCAGAGTTAGAAAACGAGGATAAAGAAAGCCACGGTTTTTGTTTTATATGCAGTTAAACAATTCCAAGCGCGAAAAGTAAAATTTGAAAACAGAACCCTTAGGACTTACATGTAATTTAAGATTTTCTCATACATTAGTATTCGATCGCTTTCCGAAAATATGAATTCACTGTATTGCGAAGTAAATGTGATTTATCTCTATCACTTAGAGACTAGCACTGGCGCCCCATTTCGTCAAAATATAGCGCAAAAAAATTTGAACTATGAATCACAAGCTAAATTCCATCTGTACAAACAATTCGAAAAATTCTAACTCTTTTATTTCCATCCCGGGCTCCTGTAATGGCCTCTTCTCTCGCTGACAAGTGGAAAAGAGAAGAAGAGGAAAGCGAAACGGACTTTCAAATCCGCAGGCCGATCTACAACTCGGCTCTGAAATGGTGTCTTCGAATGCAGGAGCACGATCGTCTGCCGATGACGGATTATCGCTTCCGGTTTTATGGCGGGCCACAGCACTCGACGGCGGGCGTTGGAATTATGTAAATGCTGCTCGTGATGTACGATCGGGCTTGTTGATACAGGCCGACGCGTATAAATCGACTCCTCCTATAGTAATGAATGTCGAGGACGAAATTCTTTATCTCTAGGCGGCATTTGCAAGAGGTTGTACACACAGTTTGTCGTGTGAGCAGAGCAATACGGCCACCGATAGATAGCGCTAATCACTGCTGCCATATAACGATGGAAACTTTGATGCTAAATGGTTCTGTCATTTACAAGCATTATATATCCCGCTTTTCGAACAAGAGAAAAACAATGGCAAAATTAGCGTGTTTTTCAGATAAGATAATAGAAAAAGAAAGTGCAAGTGAAAAAATTAAGCTTTGTTCAGGAAAGCAATTACGTGTCATTAAGAGTGGATCATAAATAATTCAAGCTGAGTTATTAGAAATATTCGAAGCTCAGTCTTTCTTAATGAACTTGACCCAATTCTGCGATGGTAAAATTTGAATAGTATTCTGTTAAAATGCATGATTAGGGAATACTAGTGCGTATTATAATTACAAATAAATTTGTCTATTTATGTTATTTTTGAAATAAAATTTTATGCTGCTATATCATCTATTGCTGAGTAAGAAATATATTTCTGTTCACTCCTCTAAGTAAACACACTTTCAAATAGAGAAAGACTTCAGAGAACAACCCTAATAGAAAACGTTCCCTAATAGAAATCATACAGCGTTTTAAATTAAACATAAAATTAGGTAAAGCAACAATCTTCTGTTTAACTTATATTTTAAC